ATAAGACAGGGCACTGGAGTCATAGATATGACCATCCACCAATGCCTCTCACCACCTGTTCCTATACTAGTGTTGATTCATCAGTCCTTTGCCCAAGGTCAACTGGAAATTATGGCACCCAAAAGCTCATTTGGGAGAGTCTTGGATCTTGGTAATTATCTGAGAACTGCTTTCTGAAGTCAGCTTCGTTAGAACATTTTAAAGGAAACAGTTCATTAAAAGTTCAAGAACTCTCATTGTCATGCAAGCTGCTGAATTGACAATTAATTCCCTTAGTCATTTTTTAATGGAGGAGTAATTTAATTCTTTGAAAACTATGACAAATTCTGCTAAATCTCGACAGTTGTGGGTTTTAATCACCATTCTCACTTCAGAAATCACTCTCTAGGCTCAATTTTATTATTATTTCATGATAAAAGCATGAGTAAGAGGCCATTGGCAGAAAGAGAACTGGAGCCACCAAGCTCAGGTTTGTATTGCTGCTTACAGGGTGACAGAGAAGCTGGGAGACTTGCCACACCCCACCCCATGCCTGTCCTAGCAGGAAACTCTGCACAGTTCAGCCCCAGCCAGCAGCATATATGACATCAGTGATATCATATATTATTATCAGCTAATAAAAAATAACTCTGGGAAGACTATTTTGAAGTTTTCTGTAAAATGTTTTGTCTATTTTTCCATTTTAAAATGACAAGAGCATGGTTAAAAATTATTCAGAGAGATCATAAAAGACAAACAAAAATATAATAGTCTAACTTCTTCCCAACCCACTTGCCTGAGTAGCAACCCTCAGCACCTCGGAGTGAGTCATTTCTCCTGTGGCCACAGCATGGATGATCATGCACAAGATGGCATATGTGCACACATACCCACAGTCTTTACCCACTGTACCACAGCAGGAAGGGGATTGCACCACACTGCTCCAGTTTCCCCACACAGCAGCAGTACCTTCTAGAAGATGCCATGTCATCTGCAAATGGCTACCAGCATCACTTCCAATACTTCTTTAGTATAACCTGAGCAAATTCTCAATTTATAATGTGGCCTTTGAGCTTTTAGGCTTCTGGTACCTTACGGAGTCAGTTTCATTGGTTTATACCTTTCCAGGAAATCCTTTAATCCATAAATATTTTTATATATAATTAAAACTAAGTATATATTCTTTTGAACCTGTGTTAGACATTTCTGTGGTTTATTCACATTGTTGTTTTTCATGTCCTTTCATTGTGCCACTGATTTTTATTGGGTGCATGTGCAGCACACACAAGTGTATACATACACACAACTGCCAGTGAGTTCTGGGGATTACTGTGTGCATTGCATGTGTGCAGCATCTGTGCAAAAGTGAGCTTCTGTGCACACACCTATCTTCAAGTCAGTTCAAGAGGCGTTTCCTACTTACCATTTCCAGTCACCACCATTTCCAACTCTTGCCTTTAGAGCACTTAATTTCCTGTGTTTCCTTTTCTAAAGCTGATCTCATCTTTTGTTCACACATTGAATACGTATTTTCTTTTCCTGACTTATGTGAACAAGATGTCATTTAAAGCTTAAAGATTTTGTATCTGAAGGAATAGTTTCAGTAACATAACATCACTTTTACTGTTTTCTGTCACCTTAGGTGTTAGTTTTACTACATCATAGTAATATTATGTGATAGTTGATTTTAAGAAAAGAAAAGAAAAGGAAACACAGAAATGTTTGGTGTTTGAAGTGCTTTTTTGAATAAAGGAGGCTTCTCATGGCTGGTGTTGAGATTTTTTTAGATGGTCTTTGCCTCTTGGAGAAAGCATTGTCAGCCCAGATGGGAAATTTTCATCTAAATTACATATGCATATATATATATATATGTTAAAAACATAAGTTCATATTTTATTTTCATTTAGTTATTATTACTTTAACTAATTTGACCCTTTTTAACTTAACTATTTTCACCTTTTCATGTGTTTTGGGTTTAGTTTGCTACTATTATTATAACTTCTTGAAATGAATAGTTATACCATGGATTTTATTATTTCTGCTTTCTTTAATATATGCAATTAAAACTAAAAATTTCCCTATAGACACTTTTGGCTACAACCCAGGTTTTAATGTGTTATAATTTTTTAATTTCAAGATATTTGCTCATTGTTCTTGCTATTCCCCCACATGTCTATGAGTTGTTTCAGAAGTATGCTGATTTATCTCCAGGTGTGTGGAGATTTCCTGGTAGCTTGTTATTATTCTCTGCCTCAGATGATGTCACATAATACATCCTGGATGCTCTCAGTCCTTTGACACTTGAAGAAGCATACTTGTGCCTCCCTGCACCTTGGTTGAGTTGAGTTCTTCCAGCAGAAGTCAGCTCAGAGTCTCTGGCATCAGCTGTCTCAAGATTCTTCATCTTGTTTAATCAATAGTTGACAGAAGCATGCTGAAGTTGCCCACAGTCTGTGGCCTTAGATATTTCACCATTTACTTCTACTAGTTTGGGTCCTATATAGTGGAATTATATTAACAGGTAGATGTAAGTTTAGAGCTATTACACATCATTTAGTATTATGGCATTTGGGTTATTATTAAATGGTCCTCTTTGAAACGTGCTTTGTCCCTTAGAGTGCACATTGCCTGCTATTACACCTGTATGTGGTTTCTTCAACTTGCAGTTTGTTATGTGCTCATTCTTATTTTGCTTAGTCTCCATTCCATCAAAGGTAGGAGGCTCTCTTGCAAGTAGCTCATGCTCTGCTTTGGTCCTGTGACTGCAATAGCAGGTGAGTACTAGCTGGTTCTCTGGCTGCCTCACTTCTTGTTGAGGATTCTGTCCTGAATGCAAGGTGTTCTTTTGCCTCTGTTCTCTTATTTCTGTTTGGCCCAAAAGTGCACCTTATTTTCCCGCTTCTCTTTGAGGGAATAAAGGGTTTTCCAGTTTAACTGAACGTTGAGTCTCTGCCTCCATTCTGTTTGTCCCTTGCCTCTGGGTTGCACTGTCAGACATTATCCTTCGGAAGGGCTCTTGGTCTGGAGAGACTGGGTTACCCAGAGGATTGCTTCAGATCATGGCTGTCTTCATGTTCTATTTCTTCTGCTCACATGTGCTTATTCTTGCCCTACCACTTTCTGCCATGAGTTGGAGAAGACTGAGATCTTCTGTGGGATTACAGGAGTGCACCGTCACACCCAGGGCAATGTCATGTGGTCATCTTTGAATAACTGGGGCATAGCCCCTTCTAGGAGAGACCCACCCACCACTGATATCAGGGTACTCAGTGGTGGTGTTTCAGTCATTCCTGGGAAGGATCAAGGCCAGGTGAGGGGAAGATGATTTTGAAAAGCGTTGGTCTTATCACTGTTGAGCTTGGCACCATGACAGCCAGTGGCACTTACTGTATGGGCACTCAGGAACCCATAACTAAGTGCATTTTTAAAAGCTCATTGGTCGCATGGGCGCCATAGCCCTCCCCTGTAGAGTGAGGATAGGTGACGGCTTCTTCCTCATGGGATGGTGCACAGAGATGTGCATCTTTCTACATTCCCTGCCCTTTTCCTGGCTTAGAAAGGGACACCATCTTTGTCCTTTCTCATTTCCTCAACTGAAGTTCCCTCTCCATGCACAGTAAAGAAAGACTTTAAACTGGACAGGTTCAGTGAGTACTGAACCCAGGAACCCTCATCGTCTTCACGGTGCCGCAAATGTCACTGAAGCTAGACATTCTCGATTCCTGTGGCACTTAGTTTATACATCCACCATGGTGTGGTTTTACCTCAGCTTTGCCATACAGTGTCTTGACTCTGTAACTACTCACCCTCTACAGCTGTGACCTTCTGGGAGGTGTGGTCTCATTTCAGCTTTCACCATCTGCCCACCTCCTCTCCTGATGTATTTGTTACTGTTCTGTTGCGTGATTTAAAAAAAAAAAAATCACCAAAGCAACTTATAGAAGGAAGGGTTTGTTTGGGGTTTTGGTTCTTGGGGGTTAAAAGTCCATCGTGAGTGTTCTTAAGTCATCCATATTTTACTGATCGTATGTTTAGCTGTTCTGCTCACTCTTTAAGAAAGGGCACCAGACTGTTGTGACTGAATCACGATTTCTCTAATTCTGTCAGTTGTTTTTAGGGGGGTTCCATTTTATTATTATAAAATGTCCTTCTTTGTCTCAACTAACAGTTTTGATCTTAAAGTCTGTCTGTTTAGTCTGGTTTAGCATACATAATCTAGTTCTCTTTGGGTTGTTTTGCATGCAACACATTTTTATATGCTTTTATTTCAACCTATTTCTGTCTTTGAAATTAAAGTAATTGCTTTAGAATCTTGGTCCTGCCACAACTTGATATGCCATGCTTTGTGGATTCCCAAGGGAGACCTTACTACATTTGAATGGAGAGGAAGGAGGGATGGATGGGGGGGAAGGTAAAAGGGAGGAGGGGGGACAGGAGGTGAGGAGGGAGGGGAAAACTATGGTTGGTATGTAAAATAAAATAAAGAACAAAAAGTTATTACATTTTTGAAGCAAATTTTACCCATTATTCCATTCTTTGCATTTTGTGGATGTATGTTTACCTGAATGTTTGTGTACAAAAACAGAGGCCAGAGGATAGCTTTGGGTTTCATCCTCAGTAATGTTGTACATCTCCTTTTGAGGTAGTATCTCTCAGTGGCCTGGAAATCATCAATTAGGTTATCTGACTGGCCAGAGAGCCCCAGGAATCCTCCTGTCTCAGCCTCCCAAGTGGTAGGGTGATGTGTGCACTGCTGTGCATGGAAGTTTTAGGTGGGTGCTGTGTCCAATGTCAAGTCTTTGTATTTGCAAGGTAAGCACTTTACTGACAAATCCATCCTAGCAGCTCCCATTCCCAGTCTTTTAATAGAAGAGTTTAAGATATTTCTAAATCTGCCTTCTCCATTAGAGATAACAAGATTATAACATTTATTTTATTTTCTGAGCACATAATATAAACTCTTACTCAATTTGTCCCAACCAAGACATCAAAAAGAAACTACCAATCCACTAAAAGCATACCTCTGACAATTGATTCTCTTTCTGGGTCTCAACTTCTTCATCTCTCAAATAAGAACTTGATGCAGACTTCTAATACTCTTTTGAAAGTCAGTGTTCAGACAATGCTCTACACACCCATTCAGGAATGGCCTGATTCTAGAGTTCTTCCATGTGTTCTATGGCTGAAATCAAGAGACGAAGACATATGCATTTTCAGTTGTGAAAATATAAGCAATAACAACAGGATCTCATTTTTTGCTAAGCCTAAAATACTTAAAGGTATCATCTAAAGACTTCAGCTTGCCTCTAATATCTTCCACAATGTACGTGCCCAGACAGTGAGTCAGCCACTTGAGGCTGGACCCGTCCCTCCATTCATGCCTTATCACAGTGTGTCATTAACACTTGTTAGTTCTACCTGCTGAATACTTTCCACACCACCTCCCTTCCTTCATTATTCCTCTCTTGCCTCTTCTGTCTTCTCATTTCTCAACTCCTAATTTCTTTCATCCTGCTTCCTGTCCCTCTGCCCTCTCCACATGCTAACTGTTCATTGTTGTGGCACCACATATACCTCCTAAAGTACCCTGTGACACAATTAGTCACTCTTTCAATTCCTCTAGGAGCTCCAGAATCCTCTACAGCATCTTGTTTATGGCCTTTGTGATTAGTCATCTTCCTACTTGCTTTTAGATTTGGTCTTCTCCCAAACCATATCCTTCCATAGCATCTAAAAGAACCCAAGTCATGTTAGTGTCCTGGAAACAGCTCTGTTTGACTCCATCTGGCTCCATCTGGCTCTGTGTCCCCATGGGACTCTTCCTAACTGAAGTTCTTACTCCTTGGATCACTATCCAACCACTGAGTTCACACCTTTGAAGATTTTGAACAAAAGTAGGGAACTAGTCTCCCATACTATAAAGTAGTACTTAACTTTTCTACATAAGTATTTAATTTTTCAAATATTATACACACTGGTATTTTAAAATAAAACTATTATGATTCTCCTTAGATTTTATGTAAGAAAAGAAAACATCCCAGTTACATAAAATCCGTTATTATCTATTTGTAAGTCAATCTAGCAGGGAGAAATTTCACTACTTCTTCAGTTGTTCTGTTTGAACTCACAGTTACTACTTCCCTTGTGGAATTTTATCTTAATGTTATGAATTTAATATATTGAAAGTACTGTACTACTATCAACTCATAAAATTTTGTAGCCAACACTTGTATACAAATTGAACTTAGTTTATTTCCTCTGACCAAAAAGCTCAACGTGATTAAATATTTTCTTTATTAAGTTAACATTTTTTTAAAAATTGTTGTTGATGCATAATGGGACAACTCAAGATAGATACTATAATTTCAATTTTTGTTAAATCATTTTGGGTAAAAAGTAAGACTAAGTCAGAGTGGACTGTGTGTCTGTTCCCCTAAGGAGATGAGGCCCAGAACTGGCTCGGGGGTCTAGAGAGAACTAAGAACTCCTCCCAACCTCTGTGGCTCCTACTGATCTGAATTCACCTTTGTTTTGGAATATAAATTGTGTTTTCATTTAAGGTCTTGCCTGGGTGAAAAGTGTTTATCTCTAGAATTAACGAAGAGAGATGCTATTTTGTTCTAGTTGGTTTGTTTTGGACTTATAAACACTAAGAAGTTGATCCACTAGGTTTCCATATCACCCTCAAATGCCACTCAATTTCAGCTGTCTCTCTCCATGTTTCCTACTTCAACCCTATTTCCCCTCCAACTCCCTACCTGGTCCTCCAGTTCCCATGCCCACCTATGGAAAATTCCTAAAATATATGAAGGTAATCATAATGCAGTTTCCTAATAATGGGGAATACGGAGTCGCAAATGGCCATCTCTTGTCACCAAACTAGGATTCCAGTGCCAGGACTGGGTTGCATTCCATTGAGTTGTTGGCCAAGGGTGTCCCATGAAAATCCCCAAACAACTCAGGCTGTTGCTAGGACAATGGATTGCTCTCTGCAAACTGACAGTGGGGCACCATTGTTGTGGACAACACCCATACAACTCATTGAACATGGAGAAGTCTAGCTGGTGCCTACATGGAGCCTTCACCCCTACATTCTACTATCTTTCCCATGGGAAGGTACTCTTCAGATTACTAAAAGAGAAATGTGAACACCAACCCAGCCACAAAACCTTTGACCTACAATCTGTCCTTCCTGCAAGATATACTAGGACAATGATAGCACAGAAATTGTGGGAGTAGTCAACCAATGTCTGATTTGACTCCACAATATGAAATCTATACCTGACCAAGAACCAGAGACTACATATCCCTGAGACCTAGGATAAAACCAAACATTACTGGTCTAAAAAAATAAAGTATCAATAAAATGACTCCTAATGATGTTCTGCTATACTTGTAGATCACTGCCTTATTTAGTCATCAGAGAAGATTCCTCCTGCAGCAGATGGGAACAGATGCAGAGACCCACAGCCAGACATTACACAGAGAAAGAGAGAGTTCTTGGAACACACAGCTCTAAATGGGATGTCTCCATTTAATCCCTCCCTCAGAGCTCAGGAAATTCTACAGAAGAAGAGACAGAAAGAGTGTAAAAGCCAGAGGAGATGGAGAACACTAAGAAAACAAGACCCTCTGAATCAATGAAGCAAGACTCATATGAACTCCCAGAAGTGGAAACAGCAAGCACGGGGCCTACATGGGTCTGCAACTGGTCCTCTGCATATATATTATAGCTTTGGGCTTAGTATTTTTGTGGGACTCCTGAGTGTGAGAACAGTTGGGTCTCTTGATTCTTGTGCCTACTCATGGGGCTATTTTCCTTTTGTTGGGTTGCCTTGTCCAGTCTAGATGTGATGGGTTTTGTTTTATCGTATTATATTTTATTTTGTCATGTTTGGCTGTTATCTCTTAGAAGCCTGTTCTTTTCCAATGAGAGACAGAAAGGTAATAGATATAGATGAGAGGGAAGGTGGGGAGGAATTAGGGGGGTAGTGGGAGGGAAAACTATAATCAATATCTATTATGTGAGAAAAGAATCTATTTTCAATAAAAGAACAAAATTTTAAAAAGCTGACTCACTGAAAGCAGGTGAGAGTTTTGTTACACCAGCATCATTCAGTTCTTAGACCACATCTTGAGTTACAACAATTAGATCTGTTTCCAACTTTATTTAAGGCAAAGAATGGGAAACCACCTGCCTTTATAAGGAGTTGGTCCAGTCATTCAAAATAGTCTCACTCAACAATTTGGAAGTCTACCCAGAAGACCTCATTTTAGAGCCCTCAGAGGATTGCCATGTTGGCCTTTCCTCCTGTAGTCATGGGCCTTTTCTTTAGATCTTATTTTATCATATGCTTTGAACATGTCTTCAGGAAGACGTTAGGGATTAGCCAGCCTCCAGAGCATGCCTGGAAAGCCAGCTTTCCAGCTTCCATTGACTGAAGCCAACTGTTAGATGGGATTTGTTGTTGGTTAAAGGAGTACATTGTTTTTCAACTCAAATAAATGTGCAAATGATGTGTTTCAAGAAATAACACAAAAATTGCTCAGAAACAAATTGTGAACTTACAAAGATGATTGAAATCAGTCAAAGTTCTCAAGAGAATACATGCAAATGATCAGTAAATATAGGGGAAGTATTTAAAATCCTTAGCAACCAGGAAAACAAAACTATATTGAAACTCCATCTCACCTTATATTCATTCATCTCGTCTTATGTTCGTTCATTCTCTTATTTGAAACCAGAAAAAAAGCATATATGAAAGTAAAAGGAACACTGTGGAAGAAGTAGAAAATGCAATCTATATGAAACAAGAGAAAAAAAGAGAGGGTATTGTGAGAAAAAGACAAATCTTACCTATGTCTTTCATATGTGGAGTATGTGTTCCTGTGTGCATGCACGCACACAACACAAGAGTTAGAGTGGGAACATCGGGGGGAGGAAGAGGACCAGCAGGAAAGCAGACAAGAGGAGGGAATAAGGATTTACATAAGGAAGGTATGAAATAGATAAATGATGAAATCCATTCAATTATCTAAAACTTTTCATTAAAATATGAGCAAAATGATTAAAATGATCAAAAACTAATGCAATCTGTCATATTTATTTTATTACAACGTGTTATAAGATGAAATATATATACTCTGTTTTGCTATTAAATCTGTCACAGTGACATGCCATGACTCCAGGCTACCATTTACGAAATAACTGCATGATAGCCTCATCAGGAAGCCCTTGCAAACTTTTTAGACACTTTGGTTGTCTGGTCTAATGTTGAAAATATTTGAAATCACCTACTAAGATCACAAATACCTTTATGAAGTTTACTAGACATAATAATCCAAAATTTTCTGAATATTTGATGAAAATAAAGGTAAAACTGCTAAAATGCAGACAGGTATGATGCCTATACATAAATTTATTTATTTTTATTAAGAAGGATGAAATGAATGTGGTTTGTAATAAATGTGAGAACTGCTAACTGTCAGGATATGCATATCACTCTGATTTGATAAAATTAAGTTCAATGCTCCTTGGAACAACAAAAAAATTTATCAGAAAATTTTAGCACATGTATCTTGAAAAACATTAGTAATCTTCTTCTTTAGGATTCTAACCATGTTTAATCTCATTAAATTATAGTACATAACAAGATATAAACCATAGTACTTTGATTATTCAAAAGTCTTTCTTTCTGGCCAATGATGTACCCATCTGTCAGGCATGACCAAGAGCTGAAAGGGAGCTGCTTTTAAATCCATGGGGGAAAGAATTCAGTCACTGTTTCTCACCAGGTTCCCTCAGCTTCAACCCTGGGGCCTTTGCAGTTGTCAGCAATCCTCTAAGCTTGGAGGAGGCTGTTCATCAAAACTGTACTCCTCTCTGTGATGACTAAAGATTAAGAACATTCTACTGTTTTCTCTGTAACAGAAGAGGCCAAGGTCAGAGAAAACCAGGCTGTGTCCGAGACTCTGTGTCAGCCTTCAGCCTTCAAGTATCCCTGCCATCTACACAAAATGTTGAAGAGGTGGAGTGGTACCATTGCCAAGGAACAGCAAGGGAGTTAAGCATGGTCACCAAGAGTATCAAATTTTGGAAGGCCACTGTGAAGATACAAAACTTACCTATTGCTAAGAAACATCAGGAGTCAAGGGTACCTAGGAGAAATGCCTCCATCTTTC